TTCTCCTCCATTCTCCTCTCGGGATCTTGGGCACGCACGCACACGCGCCCGGCGTGTGTTTTAAGCCACCGGGTCCGGGACATGAACCACGGTCAACTACGTGGGAGTCCAGCGACATAGCCATTACGCCAACTGCTGGTTCCCAGAGATCAGAAAACTTTTTAAAGGGTCTCATAGTACATATATTAAGCCTGTGTGCAGATAGTCTCTGTTGTAACTATGTAACTGTCCTTATAGCTTAGACTGTATGTAAATAAATTGATATGTTTCTGTTCCAGTAAAACTTTGTTTTTTGTTTTTGTTTTTTGTTTTTTGTTTTTTGAGGTTTTTTACTATAGGGCACATGCGCTCACCAGAAAGACAGAGAGACAGAAAGCGAGAAATCATCCCTCAGAGGGGATGGCCATGCCACAATCCCTTCTCCTCCATTCTCCCCTCTGGATCTTGGGCCCGCACACACACATGCCCAGCGTGAGTTTTAAGCCACCGGGTCCAGGACTCGAACTGTGGTCAACTACATGGGAGTCCAGCGACATAGCCATGACACTAACTGCTGGTCCCAATAAAACTTTGTTTTCAAAAACAGGAGATGTGACGATTTGGCTCACAAACTATAGACTATTGAACCCAGATCTAGAATATATCAATGATGACTAAAAATCAGCATGTAAAGCAATCCTGACAAAGTAGGATTTTTTTAGATCCAAAATCTAAAAAAGGGATCTTTTTAGGCAAGCAATCTTAAATTCTCCATAGTGCAAGTGAAACTGTTCAATATTATAACTTCTAAAAGAAGAGTATATTTGATATAGAGATATGATTTCATGTTCTCTTATTGCTAAAAGTTGACAAAGTCAGGCATCGGATTCCAGCAAGGCAATCATGAAAACAGATCACTTTAGTGGGAGCATAAACTGATGCAGCAACGTAGAGGAGTGCTTTAGAGCATTTTTCAAATAAGCTACGTGCATAATGAAAATCCAATGGATTACTTCAGGATTATGTTCCAAAGTCTTTGGACACATGAACAAAGGTGCTGAAAAATAATAAGCCTCAATGGATCTATAACATGTGCAAGTCAGGGTGGCCAAGTCCAAATGGAAAAAAAAATCACTCAACCTGAACTAAATCGCGCATGATTATGCAAAGAGAAATGAAGGAAAATGTTTCCTATTGCTTGTGATAGTAACTAGAAAAAAAATAGAACAGCTTAGACCTCTACTAGTGAAACTGAGATAAATAAATCTTGGTAGATAAGCACCTCGGAATACCAAACAAAAGTCCAACCTAAAAGATGTTGTCTACATAGAGATATAAAAATATCTCAGAAGCAAGTGAATTTTTAAAAAGCATTCTTTGAAATAGAAGATTAAATAATTATGTAAATCTTATAAATTACAAACAATATTATTTATTGTACATAAATAAATATGTGTGTGAGTGAACTAGACATATAGTTCAAACATTTGCAAGCATGAAATATACCAGGAAATTACTCTTGAAGGCTTTCTTGGAAAATTAAATTAAGCTAGAATTAAAAAGAATAAGAAGTTGAGCATTAATTCCATTTACAAATGACAATAAAAAGCAAATTGCCAAAATATTTTAAAAGCTAATGAAATAAACATAGCATAGAACAGTAGTTACATTATATTTACAAAACTTGAGAAATTAAAGTTTTGGAAAGTGAATATTTAGTAATGATTACAAGTTATCTCACAAGCTAATAATAAATAAAAGAGAAAAACAGAAGCTCACATGTCAAGATTAATTATTAGTGTGGGATATTTAAAAAATATTTCCCTATGATTTAAACATTTTTAAGTTTCTTGATTTCTGAAAAAAAAAATGTGGAATTAGTTGGATGATTTGTAAGCAACTATCAGTTTTATAAAACTGGTATTAATTAAGAAACTCAAGAAGTCAATGTAGAATCTGTGTTAATTTGTATATAGAATTTCCACTTGTAATTAAAATAAAAATGAATGATAGGATGATTAGTAGTTATTTCATAGAAATTAGAACTCACAAATACTGATATTATAGAAAATAGAACCTTCATATAGTCTCTGTTCTCTTCCACACATAAATTATATTTATCTGTGAAAAATGTGAAAAAAAGCTAATCTTTTATAAACTTTACTGTAGCAAGAAAGTCTAATATAGGGACTTAGATTGATTTTTGAGTAGTCTTCCATCTTATATCATTACATGATTCATATTGATTCTGTTTTCTCAATGGGGTTGCTCCTGTTGTTTGAGAAATTTTAGATCAAAATGCAGGACCCCAGTTTCTCTCAACTCCATCTAGCCAAATATTCCTTCCAGTCAGGTAACCCATGGCCAGTGCAGTGACAGAACTATGTGAGGGATCTTCAAACAAGTTCCAGAATACATGGAATTAAAGCATGAGTTTACCCAAAAAATTCTGAAATCCATGCATAGTTTACTTGTAATATGTATTTTGTATGAACTTTTAGAAGACTCTCTCATATTTTCTAAAGCCCACGGTAAACTAAGGCCTTCAACACAATACTCACACATTAACTTCATTATTTCATTAGTAGGAACAAATGTGATGTTATAAAGAATTTCATTCCTATCTTTATTAGAATGAACAAAAGTAGCATATATATAACATATCCATCTTGACATATAAAATATTGAAAGTTTTTAAAAATTGTTTACTATCTGAACAATATCTAAAAGAATTAAAGTCAGCATGTGATGAAGGGACCTGCACTCCCATGTTCATTTTCATATTATTTCACAATAGTTGAGCATTAATTCTATTTACAAATGACAATTAAAAAATAAATAGACAAAATATTTTAAAAGCTAATGAAATAAACATGGCATTAAAACTGTACTTACATTATATTTACCAAACTTGAGAAATAAGTATTCATAACCAGATGGACAGATAAAGATGTGGTATAGATACACAGCGGAATACTACCAAGCCTTTAAAAAGAAGGAAATCCTGTTATTTGCACAACCTGGATGAATAGAGGACATTATGTTAAGTGAAATAATTCAAGCACGAAAATACAAACACCGGATGATTACACCTATCTGTAGAATGTAAAAAGTGGATATAATAGTAACTGAGGGTAGAAAATAAAACTATTTTGAAAGATTTATTCAAAGAAAACTTATGAATGACCATGACTGGTAAACACAATCTCTGGTAACCCTGAAAAAGTAGTCATGAGGGGCTTAGATACAGCAGTTCTTGTACTTAATCTCAGAGCAAGAGATAATAAGCAAAACTGTAACTCAACAGAGTTAGCCTTCACAGCAGCCTAGACCAAGAAGTCAGAACATCCAGGGGCCTACAGGTTATAGGTGGTGAGATAGACATTAGACACTACTTACAGGTAAATAGGGAAGGCTCCATGTTTTTCTTTTCAGTGAAGTCACTGCGTTTTCCTCTATGATTTGGTTAATGTACAATAAACACCCCTTTAACATAGCTCTAAAGAATTTATGACTCCTTTCTAATAATGCAGGCGATAGGAATATTAAGCACACAGACAGGGAAAAGATCCCAGATGGAGTCACAGTGGTCAAGTTTTCACAGCCAAAAGTGGGCTGCATTGGGACTCAAAGCAAGTGTAGCTAGGGGCAACAGATTCTATTCAGTATCTGTATTCTAACAAGAAGTACAGAACACTATGGGCTGCTGACTCCACAAAGAATAGGGTAATAAATCACTCAGACTACCATGTAACTATTTTCTAAAGCCCACTTCCTTATTATAAAAGCCAGACCATTTCTCTATAGCCTATTTCTCAGTTACATAAAAACCCCTTGCCTCTACCTTCTCTTTGGCAACTCAGGCGGGCCCCTTTCTAGTACATTAGAAGCTTTTTTTCCTTCCCTAATAAACTCCGCTTTACTCTCCTCTCTCTGTCTTCATCTCTAATTCTTCATGAGCATAGGACAAGAACTGGCACAGGTGTTAGTGACATAGGAACACAGGGACACAGCAGTGGTCAGGCCCAGCACTCACAGTGAGACATGGGTTCTTGTCTCACACTCAGGAAAAATTAGTGGTGTGGACACAGAGAGTAAGTACCAAAGTGGGGAGTTTATTGAAGGAGAGGGAAGGAAAAACAGAACTCCCAAGAAGAAGGGAGGAGTACTGGAAGATTAGTTGCTGAGTAGGAGCTGAAGTGAGGGAATTTTATCTGGGTCAGAAAGGCCTTGTTCAGGCTTGTTCTAGGTGGTACTCACACATGTGTTCCCCTCATGGCACAGAGGGGCACATGCTTGATGAATCAAGTTATTTTTCTGATTTTGGAGTGGGCATAAATGTCAGGAAATTCTTTGCCAAAAATCTTTAGGCTATAAAAAACATTATCTTATCCTCTTCCTGGAATGTTGTGGGGCCTGGAAAAATTTAAGCCTCTGTTTTAGGTATGGGTCATACTGCCTAGGGTAATCACTGAGCCACCACTGCAAGATGTCTCTTGAGCAAGCAGCCAAGCTGCTCTGTCTCCATCTTAAAACTTAGCCATTTTGTGATTCCGTTCCATTTGGGGCAATACCTTAACTATATTTTTAGGGTCCCTGTCACCTACCTCATTCATTCTATCACCCGAAACTCCCACATCGGTGGGTTTAGAAATTCTTAAAGGTTAGTAATTGTTGAAAATCACAAGTCTTTCCCTCAAAAAGATTGATAGCCAACAGAAAAGAGGGTCTGAGTTTAACTTTCACAGAGATAAGACGGCTTTGCTGTAAGTTCTTGTGGCGATGTTGTGCCAAGGTCAAATGTGGGGAGTACCTCACAATCACTATACCAGTGTGGTCTGCTCTATCGGAAGATTAGCTGCTTACTTACTGGCATCACTCTTCCCAGACCACTAGGAAAAGTTCAGAACAAAGGAAAGTGGTTACTTTCAGTCCTCAGCTCTCATTTCAGGGGCCAAATAGAGCTCTTGCTTCACTTCCTTTACTCCAGTCTTTATTTGGGTTGATGATGTCTGGATTTTCTCTCTCCAATACATCATCCACTATTCACATGTAATTGTTGAGCATTTCAACAGTCTCAAATGTGGCTGGTCAAAACCAAGATGTGCTTTAAGTGTAAAATACACACTAAATTGAGAAGATTCCACCAGAATGAGGAAATGCTTTCCAAAATCCTTTCCAGAGAGCCTGTGGAGAGTTACACCCTCAAACATTAACAGACTATTTGGCCCATTGATAACAGGACTCATCCTACAGCCTGCCCCTGACATAGTATCTTCTGATGTACACTAAGCTCTGTTCTTCCTTCTCTTTCAGTAAAGTCACCACTTTGCTACTTATCTCTGTTAAAGTATATTCTGTTTTTTCTGATTTTTTCCCAAGATAAAGACATCCCTTTCCAATCACCAATCTAAAAATTGTAAAGCCTACCTATAACCTACAAGTTTCCCCCTCCCCACTTCCAGATGTCATGCCTTTTTGGAACATTCCAATAGAAAAACTTTTCACTAAATTCCAAACTTTGTCTCTAGCTCTCAAAAACAAATAAAAGGAACCCTGTATGTAAGTAACCTGAGAAAGACATGCTTAACTTCCTCCAGGCTGATTACTCACTTTTATGCTTAGAAATAAATTGCATTAATTATTATTCCTACAGAGTTGGTTATTTCTGTCAACAGAAACAAAATTTATTTATAATTTTTCAATTATTAGATGTTGAAATATTATATAAATGTAGGGCTATATAAATCATATTATTAAAATTAATTCCACTTACTTTTAAAAATTGTACTGTTGGAGTCAGCAGGTGGCATAGTGATTAAGGTGCTGGACTCCCACAAGGCTGAGAGCGGTTTGAGTCCCAAACCTGGCGGACTGGAACTCAGGCCAGGTGCATGTGTGTGCATGCTCAAAATCCCAAGAGGAGAATGGAGAAGGTTTGGTGATGTGGCCATCTCTTCGGGAGGGATGATTTCTCACCATCTCTCTCTGTGTCTCCAGCAAGTGCATGTGTCCTATGGCAAAAATCTCTCTTAAAAAAATATTATATTGTCAGTGAATTTCAAACCCTAAATCTATAAAGAACAAAAAGTATTTAGGCCAGCTCCGTGTGTGACCTGGTGGTTAAGGCAGCCAGATATTGCATGGCCAACCCCGCTATTTCAGTCCTAGACCTGGCAGCTTAAGAAATACACCAGCTGCATGTGCATTAGTACCCCAAATTCCTGTGGAATTAAGAAATGGAGGTGAAGAGATGACAGTGTGAATGTTCCCCTTGGAGATGCTTTCTTCTCTCTCCCTCTCTCTCTCTCTCTCTCTCTCCTTTTCTCTAAATGCCTGACAAAAATTTTCCAAAAACATCTTTGATGTCTTAGAAAATTTACAACCTGTAAAGTACAGAGGCAAGTATAACCAAAAAAGTACCCCAAGGAGTTGAGCAGAAGAATAGGTTTTATGGACAGAGAAGAGCTGAATGCATGAATAATAATAAAAATATAAATAATAATAAAAAAGAACAAATTAAGTGCAGAAGTGAAGTGGTCATTTCAAGCTTGCTTTCCCCGTAAGGTAAGAAGAGAGGGGGAGTACAACAGGAAAATAACTGTGTAGTTAACACTGAGTTACTTCTTTTGTATAAGGATTAAAACAGAGGAAGTTGGGGCCAGCAGATGCCATAATGTTAAGGCACTTAACTCCCACATGGGAGACCATGGTTTGAGTCCTGGACAAGGCAGCTTGAAATTCATACTGGGCACATGTATGTGTGTGCCCAAAGTCCTAAGCAGAGAAGGGATTGTGGCATGGCCATCTTCCCTGGGGATGAGGAGGGTGATTTTTCACTTTCTCTCTCTGTGTCTCTCTGGTGAGGGCATGTGCCCTATAGCAAAAATATCTTTGAAAAAAAGAGGAAACATTATTATTGTGCTCTCTGAAACTGGCCTTATTGGAGAAGTTGACTATTATCTCTCTCCTGATACCTCTGAAAGTCAGATAACAACTCAGCTTTAAATTCGTGACACGAAGTCACTCATGTCTTTAGACTGTTAAGTAATCTGAAGACTGAACCTTATAAAGAGACATATGTCATATTATTCTATGATTGCATGGCTCTGTTTTTTCTGATTCTTAATGACTCCATGCTGATTTTTAGTCTATTCTCTTGGGGTCTACTGCAGGAGCTTTGTCTAAAGCAAAGCAAGTCACCAAGTCCAGGACTCAAATCATGGTCAGCCATGTGGGGATGTCCAGGGCTTTAACTGCCATGCCACCTGCTGGTCCCTTCCTATGATATCTTTATCTCACAGCTTTGTGCTAGAACTTACATCATACCCAATGCAATATAGCTCATGTAATCTTTTTTAGGGTTTCTTATACTTTCTAGTTACACCATCTATGTTTTCCTTGTAAGAATTGATAAGCCAGTTTTGGAAGAGAGCAGCCAGACTCTCTGATGCTCTTTAGGGATTATGTATGCATCTAGGAATGGTCCCTACTTTCCAAAAGCATGTGATCTTTCCTGTGGCATTCACAGCCATAGGATTCTGAGCTAGAAGTTATCACCTGAGAATCTGTGAGGATTCTTATCAAAATTTGGTAGATAAAATAGTGCCAGAAGCCAAATAAAGCAGTCAAACACTTTCATTATTTTATTATTTCAGGGAATAATTTGTAAATTCCAGTGATTATTTTAACACATGTCAAAATAAATATCCAGGGGTTTCTAATCATGTAGTTGCATCCAAGATTCATTTCTTTACATTTTAAGGTAGGGATCTCTAATGAACAAGTATGCAATTTTATGTTGGGTCATGGGCATGATTTATGAGGGGAAGTGAGAAAAATAAACAATAGGAAATTATGAACTATTCCACTAGGACAGGAAAACAGAACAAACAGAACCACACAATCATACGTCTCTTCATAATGTTCAGTCTTTGGATTATTTAACAGCCCACAGCATGTTAAAATTCATAAAGTTAGTAAATAATGAGTACTTTCTCTTGTTCATCTGGCTCTTTATTCCCCCACTTGGAAATTAAATCTCAAGGATTTCAATGAGCAGCAATTCCAAATAAGAAAGAAACCACTTTATCTTCTTTGGAAAAGCTGTCACACAATCCTCTGCTTGAGCAAGACCACTTATTTTTAGGGTAGATTTGAGTTTAGAAATTGTTAAATTCAACCTCTTAAAAAATTGAAGCTTTGGGTTTTTATTTCCTCTTTTTAAACTTACTCTTGTTAGAATCAAAATGTGAATAGATAGTTTAAATATCTACCTTGGATCTTAGAAATCATAGTATTTCAAGAGGTAGAGTTTTATATTTTTGTGACTATTTTAAATAGTGTATATTTAAAATTTTAAGGAAATAATAAAATGTATCCAATCAATAGCAGCAGTTTGTCAAGTACCTACTATGTGTCAATGTTATGCTAGACACAGGACTATTCCCGGACCAGTCTACGTGGGAGAAAATGAAACCTGTCATCACCATGAAGCTCAATTATGTGATGAAGAGGGGAGCACAAGACACTGAGCAATGGTCTAAGGGAACAAGGAGGAGTCCCTAGTAAAAGGAGATTCAAGTTGAGACCTGAACCACAGGCGAAGGATGCAAGACAAAGGCATGGAGAGG